TCGATTATCATGAGACTTTTAGCCTTATGGTTAAACAAGCAACTGTGAAGGTATTTCTATCTTTAGCAACAATTTATGGTTGACATCTATCCTTGTTGGACATAGACAATATTTTCCTTAATGAAGACTTAGAGGAAACAATGTAATGGATCTACCTAAGGGTTATCTGGTTAAAGGGGAGAGTCCAAGATCATCATAGTTAATTTGCAAGCTTAGAAAATCATTATATGGGCTTAAACAAGCCTCCGGCCAGTGGAATTCTAAATTCACTACTACTCTCACATATTTTAGGTTTCAACAATTCAAGTTTGACTATTCTCTGTTTGCAAAAATGGTTGACAAAAAGGAGTTCATAAATTTAATGGTCTATGTTGATGATATAGTAATTGGCAGCAACAGAGCATGTAAAACAATAATTAAAATCAAAATTTAAGCTCAAAGACTTATGAGGGCTTAAATACTTCCTTGGTTTGGAGGTAGCAAGATTAAGAAAGGTATTTTTCTTTGTAAAAGGAAATATGCTTAAGATTTGATCAATGAGTATGGGTTTTTATGATGTAAACCTACTTCAACACCTATAGATTATAATCATAAGCTTGCAAAAGATAATTTTAATGAGAAATTTGTTAATCCTACTACATATAGGCAACTAGTATGGAGAGTTTTATATTTAACTTTCACTAAACTAGACATAGCATATGTTGTCCAATGCATATCACAGTTTATGGAAAAACCTAGTGATAGTCATTTACAAGTAAATATTTGAAAAAAGCTCCAAGACAAAGTATACTACTAGCATCTCATTTTAATTTTCATTAAGGTGTATACTAACAATGATTGGGCTAGTTGTCAAGACATCAGAAGGTCTATTATAGGTTTTGGTGTGTTCATAAGAGATTCCCTTGTCAGTTGGAAATCCAAGAAACAATATATCATGGCAAAAAGTTCTATAAAAGTTGAATATAGAGCCATGGTTGCAACCTTTCATGAACTGTATCAATTCTCTCTCTATTTGTTGATTTTGGTGTTACACATAGAAGACCAAGATGATTTCTACATGTGATAATCAATCTACTCTACATATACGTAAAAATCTTGTTTTTCATGAAAGGACTAAACATATAAAAATAAATTGTCACTTCATTAAAGATAAAGTCTTAGAAAGAATCATCATTCCACAATATGTTTCCACAAAGAATCAATTGACAAACATGTTCACAAAAGCATTGCAACCGGCACGGTTCTACCATTTGATGTCCAAAATGAGCATTATGGACATTCATGCTCCTTTGAGGGGGAGTGCGAAGAATGAAGTCTAAAAGATGGGTAAACTTGTAAATATCTACAAGGGTCAAAGGTTATTATTGTAATTAGAATAAATCCTAATTTAATATTTGTATCTATAAATACCACATTGTACAAGAAGCTCAGCCGTGTATTCAACTATTCAAATAAAACAAAGTAATTCCAGATTCCTTGCTCTCTTGAATCTGCATCTCCACTCCCATTTCCTTTGGTTTTTCATCTTTAAAACTTTTAGAGGAAGAATGTGCACCACTAGATTGTATGATTGAAGTAGTTTAAAGGGTGCCACCAGCATTACTAGTAGAAGGTTAGTGACGATGTAGCAAAAATTATCTGGTTGGACTTATTGAACAACACACTCATAGAAAAACAAAGATGTTTAAACAATATTCTATTATATATTGATGACGTGTTGAGCAGTCTACTAATAGTTACATGAGACGGACAATCATAAGCTAGTTGCAGATACAACTTTGATCTTTGTTTTCATGTAATAACTGCATTGAAGAATTAACTTTAATTATCTTTGCAGCAATGATTGATAGTTGAAAAAAAATTATTTCGTTAGGAGAACCCCTCCACAAGGTGGGTTCAAAACAAGCCTATGCCTTTGTTCGCGAATTTAGCTCATAAGTTTGAAGGGTTTTGGACTAATTGCCAAGCAGAAATTCAAGAAAATGGGTTTATTGATGATTCAAGAGTTAACAATGAGTAGGACAAGATGTTATACATCGTGGAATTACTAATAATGTTTCTAACTTTGGCATGCTTTATTTGTTTTATTTTAAATAGATTTATTATCTAGGATTAAATTGGTTATATTTAATCATTGACAACTTATGTTTAACATTTTATATGTATGGTATTATAATAAGTACTTATTTATGATAGGTCAGAAGTTGTTAGTCACTTTGCTTTCGTAGATAATTAAATAAGACCAACAGATAACTGGTAACATATGTAATTTCCCATACTATCTCTTATAAAATTTCTAATTAATTTTAAACCGTTAAAAATGTTGAGACCCTTAATTAAAAAAGCAAAAAAACAAAGATGATATTTATAAAGCTACGAGATAGTTTATATGATGATTATAGTAGAATGAATTGGGAAGAATCTGCCAATCATGTCCTTGAACACTCCTTTTACAATTATATCAATTACAATTTACAATTTGTATCCTTTTGACTGATAGTAAGTATATTTATCTATTATTTAAAAAGATAAATTTAACTTTCACTTTTTTCCTAATAAAAAAAAATAACGGCTCACTCACGATAGTAATTAAAAGCGTTAAAAAATATTTCCACGATTATATGATACCATTTTGTACTTTAGATCCACTCCAAATGCAGGTATTGATCAATACATTGAACAACAACATGAAATATAGAAATCAAATTGAAAGATAAGAGTCAAATGTTTAATAGTTAGTAAAGATATCAACTTTACCAACTTTATTATTACTTATATGGTCACATAAAATAGTTCAATTGTACCTATATGCATTTTTTTTGCACTCTTCATTTATGTCATAGCAATATTTGAAACTAAATACATGCCCTGGTTGGTCTGAAGAAGTAGGAGGTTCTATCTAAGATTAGAAAAGACTTAACTTATTATATTAACTTCCTAATTATAACACTAAAAATTAAAATTAATCAAATTAAAAAATACCTACCCAAATTAAATTTATAGCATTACTAGCTACTAAGCTATTAAGCAATATAATATTTTCTCTTGTATCCAAAAACCAAAAAGCTCACTTAGAAATAGTAGTTACATAGTCCTAGTAGTCGAGGGGGGAATTGGGTGAGTTGGATTGGGTCATGTGGGGTCGGATCATATAAGAAAATTTAGGTTATTCTGAATTTGAGCCATTTTAAATTTAGATTTTTATTTAAATTTTGATCATTTTAAATTCAAATTATTTTAAATTCGATTTATTCAAATTTAACATTTGTAATATTTGATTTCAGGTTATTTTAGATTTGAATTATTTTGTGTTCAAGTTGGATGAATTCAAAATGTTGATTTTTTTCTAATTAAATCAGATTGGATTGAATCCAAATTCAAACTGATGAATCAAGAAATAAAATTTTCAAATTGGGATCAATTTTACCATCTCCACATAATAGGTTATGATCAAGAAATCATTTTGGCTTTTAGCCTTATATAGCATCAAGTTGAGGAATCTTGACTAAAAGTTTAGTCAAGACTGATTAATCTTTTCAGCTATCAATTTCTTCTTTTTATACACTCATTCTGACATGTCAAAGGATTAGAAAGAACTAAGAATTGGGTAAAGTTAAAGAAAGAGCTAAGGTTTGGGTAAACTTTTAGGTTTAAGTTGTGATGAAAATTGTTGAAACTCTATGCGCGACATGATTAGTCAGATTTCATAGTCCTTTGTAGATTACTCTTTTTAGGTTGCTAATTGACTCATGTGATTCTATGCCCTCAAGCCATTTTCATATGCCTTTTAAGACTATATTAGATAAAACCAATGAAAAATTCTTATAGTAACAAAGAATAAGTTAACCCAAAATCATAAAGAGGATAAATTATTCAAAAAAAGAATATTTTTGCCAAAATTTGACCATTCAAATCTAATCTGACATGATAGTAAAAATAATTGTTAAGATTAAATTAAATTACAATCAATATAATTGTGCATATAAATTTGGATTTAATTTTTTTCTACTAGCAAACATGTTTATACTATATATTTATTAAAAAGAGATCCAGTTATATGGTGTAAAATTAATAAATTTTACATTGTTATAGCTTTTTATAGGAACAATAGTTTATAAAAAATAACCCTTACATATAATAATATCTTAATATCTATAATGCATATAAATTTTTAAATCAATTTGATATTGATGTGACATTGAGAATATCTTATATATATTTAATGGTTAAAATTTTTATTATACAAATAATTATATTTTTTAATTAATTTAAAATTTTATATGTATGAACCATATATGTAAAGAATATAAAATCTAATGATTTAACTGTTAAAAAGAAAAATTATATAAAAAATAAAAAAGATGTAAAACTCAACAAATTTTACATCCCTGGTTTTATTTATTTATTTATTTATTTATTTATTTATTTATTTACTGATATATATATATATATATATATATCTGAACTTTTTGCAGTTTTGAGATGCGGAACATCAGATTCTAACCAGCTTTGGTTGTTGCAGCCACCGGCGCCAAGCTTACGCCAGGACCGCAAATGACAATCTCGTAATCCAAGCAACCTGGGGGCATTTTAGTGAACTTAACCCCACTTTCAAGAAAGAAACAAAAGAATTTGGTCCTTCACTTCAGCCTACGCAAAGGACAACTTGTTCAGAGGCCCACGCCCACTGCCTCTCACGTGGCCTCCACGTTCATATTGATCATCGACTCTGAAAGTGACCCTTTTTAACCTCCCTTCGCCTACTTCACGCGCTGCTAACCTACATTGAGTGACAATCTGGTACAGTTGAGCAAAGCGATCACATTTGGTCGTGTACTTGTGTGTTTTACGGTATTTCCTATCAAGATATTGTAGCGTACGAAACAAGTGTCAAGATTTGGACCGTTTGATCTTCCAGGCATACCTTCCACCCAGACAAAGAGGCGGATTTCGATACGTACCTGGGATCATCAATTATCCCGAAGCCCTTTTAACCCTTATTAATTATCTGTAATTAATCCTTTTTATGTCCTTGTTTCGTTTTTTTATTTTTTACTATGCTTTTTCTTTCTTGCTATGGGAAACTGTTGGAATTCTCCATTGTTTTTCCAACTACCATTTATTAATCTTTAATCTTTTGCTTTTTATTTTCTTGTTTAAGTAAACAGTCTCTTTATTTTCAATCTTTTCTTTACTCCAAAAGTTTGTTTTGACTCTGCAGCAGTGCAAGTGGGTGCTTCCTGCTTCATTTTTGCAGTTTCTTTGTACTTTAATATGAATATATATATATTTTTTATGTTTTTACTGGTTGAATTGGGTTTAGATCTGGGACTTCAGTTTCAAGGTTGTTCTTCATAAAAGTTTTTCAACTTAGTTTCGTGCTCTTTTCGGTTTTGACTTTTTCAGTGAATTTTAAGGCTAGGGTTGGTTATGCTTGTAAAATTTAGAATATTTAAGTCCTTTTACTTTTAATTCTTCTACTAACACTTTTTTTCCCTTTGGCTTTCAGTGAGGAAACTGAGTTTTGTTTCTCTAGAAATTTTGGTACTGTTTAATTTTGGACTTTGTCTTTGGTCTTATTGCTGAGAAATATGGAGAAAACAAAGACTAGAAAATTTTGGTTTATTTTTTATGCTGTCTAGTTGAGACAACCTCAGTTCCTTTACCTTTCATTTCTCTTCTGTTTAAGCTTTTTGCAACTGCAGCTGTTTATTATGGTTTCCAAATCCAATAAATTTTTCTTAGTGGCTTTTGATTTTATTTTTTTCATATAAAAAATTTGCAAAGCTTAAGGTGTTTGATAAGTTCTTAAAACCTTATAAATTCTTTTAGCTTAAGCCTTTATAATATGCATGATTGCATATAGAAGTTCCTCCATTTCCAGCTTGTCCAGCTAGAGAGAGTCCAGAATCACTGGTGAGTTTTTGGTGAATAACAAGCTCCATTTAGAATGAAAAATATGGGTGGGATTGTAAAGGTTTCCTAGATTTTTTTTGGTGTAGTTGTCATCTGGATCAAAGTTGTTTATCTAGCGTTGCATGTGATATTACTTCTTTTCGATCTTAATGCTTACAAAATTATGTTTTGTGGATCTATACTATCTCGTCGTGAATTCTAAGCTGTTCACTTGATGTTTTGACTTTTAATTCTCCATATATGTTTTTTATTATCCGAAGTTCAGTTCTTGCCTGTTGAAAGGTAATTCCATCTCCTTCGTTAACGTTTGAAAAGAAACCCATATTTCTGTGAGTAATACTATATAGATCCCTTTTGTGTTTTTGGTGCTGTTCATGGGGATCTGAATATTGTTTTGCTTGGAGTGTCCGTGTCATAAATGATGATGTTTATGAAATGTAAGATATTGGTGGCTTTGAAGAAATGTTGTTAGATGTCAACATGTGTATAGAGATTTTGTGCATGGAGTATAATAAGGAGTTATGAATGGTTTCTGCTGGAGTTACATGTTTCTTTTTCTGAGATTTTCTGTCTTTAACTTTTCAGGATTGTTAGAATCATGAGTTTTGGATGCAATTCTACTGCTTTAGGGTCAATGGAAACTGAATTTATGAAGTTCAATGACATTTATATTATTTTGAGATTCAAAACAGCTTGGTACTTTCTCAATTGTAAGCAAACCACTGTATTTAAAGCTTCTTTTCTGTTAACTAATGCTTCTCTGCAATATATTCTTACTATTTCTCAATTCTCTTTGCAGATTTTACTCTGAGATTTGACACATTATCAATTGACAACGAGAGAGAGCACGCTTGTTGGCATTCTTGGAAGGACACGGATGTGTACAAGCGTGCTCTCTATCGTTGTCATATGATATCAAAGCTGTCTTTTCTCAGTTTCTTAGTCTGTTGCTGCAATAGCTAGCAGGTGATTCTGTTCATCCGGAATTTCAATTTTGCTGCAAAATTTTTTAATGAAATATATATAGATAATAAGATGGTTGTTATTATCATGTTATACAGTTGGCAGGAATTTCAATTTTGCTGCAATTTTTTAATGAGACATAAATAATAAGTCAGTTGTTATTATCATGTTATACATGTGTGTGTTGTTTAAATTTACTTATATTTATTTCTAAACATTTATCGAAAGATTGGTATAGTAATTTTCTGTGTGATCATTCATAAAATGCTTCCTGTACTTGTATGTATTTTTTAATCTAATCATTGATTAATGACTGTTATAATTGTAAACTTGAATATACATTTATAATTCCTTCTTCTTTATTGGTGAGTCTGCAATGATTTGCTTCACAAGATGCATCAGTTGCCATCTATCAAATGATTTTTCCTGACCTCTGCGCTTAAGTTAATTCTTTCAGAAATATTGTTGCGTCCATTGCATTGAATTTAATATAAGACAAGCCTTAAAATTTTGTTTAGGAGGTGTTGTCTTAACCCAATCACAAGTTAGAAAAACCCCTTGAAAATGTGTTGTTGTCTATTTCCTTGTTATCACTAGATTGTCTCACGACACACACTGCTAAGACTGGGACACTGCTTATGATATAAATCTTATTAGTATATGATAACATAATTAAGAACCGAAGATCATTTTTCAAAGTCAATTTTAAGTGCATTACAAGCTCGTACTTATTCTCCAATAAAGCATTCTAGTAAGCTAATCTTACTTTTATTTATCTGCTGAGCAATTCTTGATACAATAAAGCAACTATAATCATAACTGCCACTATTGTTGCACCACTAACAATACTTGCTTCACCACTATCCTTGGTATGAAACTAAGTGCAATTACTTTTACTTCAATTTTTAATGATTCCACTGCTATTGGATCTATGGTGACAACTATTATAACCATTGAGTGTTCAATGTAAATATTCAAGATGGCGTATCGCATGTGATTCATAGATATGTGATGCCTACGAATAAGAAGTGTCTCATTTGTTTTTGATATCTTGATTGGTATTAACATAAAATGTTATTAATAATTTAGTGTTTTGTAATTTTTTTAGTTAAATAAGGGTATTTTTGACCAAAGGTTTTATCTCATCTTTGCAAACTGGTTTTGAGATATCAATCTTCTTAAGTTACATTGACTCTTATTTTAGTTGAACAAAGTATTTAAGATTGCCATCAAGATAAAAGGTGCCCTTTTCAAGATTACTAATAATGCTCCAAAATTTCTCAAACCAATGCACCTTTGGGTTATCATAGTCATTACCATCAACAAAGCCACTTGTGCCATCCCAACATAATTGTTATTCCAACTATTTCAACAATTTCAAATTGATATCATGACCATGAAAGTCATCATAGATGTCATATCCATTTCCAGTTTTATTTTCCTTTACACTGTTTTTTTCCTTCCTTCTTTTCCTTAGAATATTGTATTAGAACTTTTTTCTCAGCTTCTACTGAAAAAATAGAAAATTGAGTAAATTGTTTTGATAATTGCTTATCTAAAATGGAGTAGATTGCTTAGATGAAATTCCTTCGGATTTATAGTTTATTAGAAATATGATCTGTGATAGGAAAATTCTACGTTTTCTTTATTGAACTTTATCACATTCATTTAAGATTGACATAGAAAATTTGTAGATGACTGGCAGGTGACATTAAGATGGCGTTTAGTACCTAACAATGCAATGTAATTGCAAGTAATGTGATTGAAGGAAGATAACATTATAGTGTTTGGTATATAAGTAAAGTAATGATTAAAATACAGAGAATATAACATTGCAGCGTTTGGTTTATAAGTACTTTTATTAGGAATGTAATGTCTGTTTTCAAAATTACCTTTATTAATAAAAATGTAAGTTTAATATACTTGTATTTTTTTATTATTAATTTGAATATAATGTTATGTCTTTAATATATTTTTAGTGTCATATTGATTTTCATTTTTTAATATAATTTCTTGTATTATATATTTTATTTTAATATTTTTTTTTAAAAGATAATATAAATTTTATTAATAGAAAATAGCTACCGAGAGTAACGAAGAGAAATCCTTTGAAATCTATATAAAAAAAACAAATAACATTGCCAAATGCCTTTAACAAAGTAACAAAGTTGAAGGGCAAAAATGTCTTTAATAACATTACAAAGTGTAATCCAATTTGATTATATTGGTTTTGAACTGCAATCACAACACATCCATTGATTGTAATATGATTGTATTGCAGTGATTTGTTGTAAAACAAACACTGCAATGTAATTTAATTTGACATATTTTAAGAAATATACTTTCACATCCCTCATACCAAACACTACTTAAGATTTTGAAACTAAGTTTTAGTGTGAAGAATTTAATATTTAGTTTAGCATTCTTTAAGTGAGATCTGAACTTGTTTGGATATCTGTCAAAGTAGTGGATTTGAGGGAATGAAGTTATTTTCATCACTAGGAATAGACAGCTTAATAAGGTTTTAATCCAAGCAGGTACATGATTTATCTATTTTGTTTTGAGGATTCTTTTAATTAAAGTTATGTTCTTAGGATTGTACTGTGCACCTACTAGATATAGTGATTCTCTTTTCCTCATTGTTTTGACACACAGACTTACATTATCATAGTTAAGATGATGCAGTTTTGATGTGTCTGGCTTTTCTTTGTAGTTTGTGTTTATTTTCACAATCAGGTTAAATGGTTATTGTTAGTTTTGATCCATAGTGAATTAATGATCATTTGAAGCATATTTCAATGATTGCAAAAGGATCTTTTATTGTCAACAGGTAAGACCAATTGTTCCTTGGAATCCTTTTATGTTAACCATTCATGTTGGCTTTTTAATTTCTTTTCTTATTTCAACATTATAAGATCTAATCTTCCTTTGATTGCATTGTTCCATGTACACTGTAAATATATTAGGCTTATATGCTGTGTGTTGTATGAGAGCTGCCTCATTTAATTTTCACTGACATCAAAGAGAAATTTCTCTAGATAAGTTCTTTGTCTGTGCTTGCTGGATGTGACTTATTGTATAAGAACTTTTTCTCAACTCCAACTGGAAAAATAAAAAATCACAGGAAATTGTTTGGATAATTCCTTATCTAAAATGGAGTAGATTGCTTGGATAAAGTTCATTCGGATTTATAGGTTATTAGAATCATGATCTGCAATATTAAAATTCTATGTTTTCTTTATTGAAATTATCAGAACACTTAAGGTTGACATAATTATAAAAGGGATGCTTGATGAATGCGAAAGGAAATACAATATAGAGATCTTTTGGAGCTAGTTTTAGCCCAGGGCAACCTTGATATACTGGTTGTTACTTGCCAGTTGCCATTGCCCTTACAAGCATAAGATGTCTTTTTTTTTTTTGCTCAGCAATAAGATGTCATTTTTATTACTTTGGATTGACAATAAAAATATTTGTCTGTATGTCAACAATGACCTTTACTATATGATAAATGAAAAAAAAAAATCAGTTCTACCTTTTTGGAGCATTGATTGTCAAAAAAATCATTCAAAAAAAAAAAACCAATTGTACTTTTTTTTTATGCAAAATGGCCTATGCTTGTGATGATGGAGCATGGAGCATTGACAGCTTGGTTCAAAGTTTTAATCGTCTTTTGAAGCCAAAGGCTAAGGTCATTAGCAGGTCTAATTTATCAGTTAAGTGGTTTTTGGTGTGCAGGAGTATTATATTAATTTCATGTGGCCTGCTTGGTCTGGTCTTGGGTTTATTCAAGTTTTTAAGGCTTATAATTTGCATAAGTTGAGTCTGTTTTCAAACTCTAATGATTTCAGGATGATAATTGTAGTTAGTTTTCGAGTAGTCTAGAAGTCTTTATATGTACCTTTGTGATCTTCATATTTCTCTAGGCTTTTGTTCAAATGAATTGTGAGTACTTCAGTTTATTTAGGCATGTGTGCTTAGGAAGATAGTTTATGCTTTTTTTCTTTTTTCTTCATCTTCTTCGCTCTTTATTGCTATGGCATTTTCATAACACAAAAATAGCCCTTTAAACTGCTAAATGCTAATTGTGCTGGTGCATGAATTTCTTGCACTCTTTTAATTCTCATTCTATTCGTAAACCATAAGGTTTAGTTCTGCCATTGCCACAGATCTAAAATTCTTTTCTAGCCTAAGCTCACCATCATAAATCCTAAGTAGCTAGGTTTTCCCAAATTTGTTCTACACTCATGCAAACTTTGGCTTGAAGGTATCAAATAGTATGTATGAGTCCATAAATCTGATGTTTGATTGCAAGATTGCAAACATGTGGGGGATTGAAGATATTAATAGATAATGAAAATCAAATTTTAAATTTACTAACATAAATTTAAACACGTTAATTTAGTTTTCTGATTTTGTTATATAAATCTTGTTTGGAAAAAAAAGATAAATTTATTTAAAAAATGTGTTTGATATCTGTATATATTGACCTTATCTAGTTTGGGATGAAGGCTATATTGATCTATTATAATTGGTTTTTATACTTGAATTACCAACAGCAAGGAGTCAAGTATATTTATTTTCTATAGGATAGGTGATATGTAGACATAAAAATGCAAAGAAAATCAAAATTAAATACTAAGAATATTTGAAATTGTGGTCTCTATTAGTTTAGGACTGATTTAAGCTTGAATGGATATTATTAAGTTGAAATCTTATGCCTCTTTCAAGTTAACAGTATATTTACCTTTGTCTTGAGTTTAAAATGCCAGGTAATCTAGCAATTTCTAGATCTGCTAGAAATTGCAGGTTTTGAGGGTTTAGTAAGGGTTTTATTTTAGTATTTTCCTTGTGTTATCAGTGCTTTCTTCATGTTTAGCAGTTTTTTTAGTCAAATTTGATAATTTCCTTTAGTGGTCTACATCTTTGTTAAAGTCCTTATGAGACTAGGAATAACAGAAGTCTTTATATACTTATATTTGATCTTTTTCTTGCAATAGAGAATGAGTTCATGAGATTTGAGCAGCTATTATGTTTCTTTTTGTTGGGGAGATAAGCCAAACCTTGAGCTCATAAGGAGCACACCAAAGTGACTCGTACATAGATGTTGGACACAATTTGAACCCAGAGGCCTAAGCTTATAGGTTCTTG